TAGATGTTTGCACATGTGTCTCTAATCTCTATGTATCTGATTATTACTAGTCACAGTCAGTTACACTCAGAGCCTTGGCACCTGAGTATGGATATAAAGTCATCAGGTAGATTTCTCAAATTATTCCATAAACCAGAGAAGGAAGATGCCTCTAACCTCTTATACATAGATAGTATTATCTTGATAACAAAAGCGGTGAAAGACAACAACAACAAAAAAATTATAGACCAATCTCTCTAATGAACATAGAGAGATGCAAAAATAAAAATTTTAAAAAAATTACTTACAAACTGAATTCAAGAATATATCAAAAAGATCATTAAGTATGACCAAGTTGGCCTCATTCCAGAGATACAGGAATGGGTCAACATTCATAAATATAATTTGTCACATAAATGGACTCAAGGACAGAAATCACATGATCATCCCTATAGATACAGAAAAGGCCATTGTCAGGGACTGGAGAGGTGACTCAGCAGTTAAGAGCACTGACTGCTCTTTCAGAGGACCTGGGTTTGAGTCCCAGCACACACAGTGGCTAACTACCATTCGTAACTCCAGTTCCAGGGGATCCGATGTTATTGAGCATGTTAAAGCTGTAATGAAATGCTTCTTCTCAAAATAAAAAAATAAAAAAAATCTTTAAAAAACAAGAAAAAGAAAAAGAGGAAGTCAGGTTATCCCTATTTGTAGGATTCTATACATAAGAGACCCTAAAGACTCCATCAGAAAACTCTGGTAGAGCTGATAAAACACTTTTAGCTAAGTGATTGGACACAAACTTACAAAGCTCAGTAGCTCTCCTGTTAATCAATGACAAACATACTGAGAACGAAATTAGGGAAATAATCCCATTCATGATAGCCTTTTAAAAATTACCTCGGATAAACCTAGCCAAAAAAGAAAGACTTCAATGAAAACTTTAAGATACTGAAGAAATAAATTGAAGAAGATAATAAAAGGTGGGAAGACCTACCATGTTCATGGACTGGAAGACAATATTGTGAAAATTGCCATCCTATCAAAAGCATTCTACAAAGTAAATGGACTCTCAATCAAAATTCCAGTGACTTTCTTTAGAAAATTTGCAAAAAAAACCCTTAAAATTCATATGGAAACATAAAAGACTGGATAGCAAAGGCAATACTGAGCAAAAAGAATACTTAGGGTGCTTTCACTATAACTGATTTCAAATATATCACAGAGCCATAGTAATAAAAACAATATGTTACTGTCACAACACAGACATACAGAACAGCTTCTTGTCAATCCATTGGTTTCTGGAACTTAAAATAGTGCCTGCAGTTTATATAGTAAGAATACAATTAATTCATTGCTATCTCTCTACCTTTAAATAGCTTTCTTTTTCCTGCATACAAAAAATTCCAACATCCTATCCTTGGTATGCATGATTTGTTGTGATTTGAACTCTGAGTCTCTCTGGGTCTGCTCAGGAAATGGGCTTTGCTGTTTAATGTCCCCACATCTTTTGGTGCTCTGCCTTCTCTCTGTGACTCTTCTCTCCCCCTGGGTCTAGAAAACTAATGCTCTCTATGTCTTCTCTTGTGGTCTGGGAAATTCTTGCTCCTTTAATCACTAACTCAAACTTATCCTCTTAGAAATCCCTTTGGGCTGATTCCAATATTATTTCTTCCAATGCGTTTACTTCTTTATGTGTCTCCCAGCTTCCTTCATATTATGCTGTGATTGTTTGTATTCTGTTTGAGCTCCAAACTATAAATTACTTAAAAATCAAAATCTTTTTGGTGGGGAGTGGGGATTTCTTTATGTCACACTGGCTGGCCAGAAACTTGTTAAGTAGACTAGGTTGGCCTCTAATTTGCAGAGATCATCCTGTCTCTGCCTCCCAAGCCCTGGTATTATAGGCCAAAATTATCTTTTAATCTTTATAGGTCCAGGTCTGATCACAGTACTTAGTTAATAGGAGTAAAAGGAAAAACATTAATTATAATATTTTCTTGACTAGGCTGACTCTAAATAAATTTTTATAAATATCTTGTAACAGGTCTGTACATTAGGTATTATTACTAAAGTAATTACTAATTCCTAGAGTTTAGAAAAGTTAAGTAACTTGCCTACAGGCACACTGCTAGTAATTGGTGGAACAAAAAATTTGAAACTAGAGTTCAAGCAGAGGGTAGAGAGAGAGAGAACCAGAGCCAGAATGAGAGAGTGAGAGTGACAGTGAGAGGGAGGGAGAAAAAGAAAATGTGGCACATTATAAGATTGACAAATAGTTCCATGCTTGACTAGAGATAGATTTATGGTTATGGAAGGGAGAGGTGGAATTGTGGCAGGAAGAGTTGGTTAAGGTTAAATTACTGATAGCCTATTATGTCATGATAAATCTTTGGGATTCTGTTCTGTGGCTAATGGAGTTCATTTAAGACTTAAGCTTCAGAATTATATAATAACATTTAGAAAGGAAGCCCTGACTGTGTGCAACAGGAATGCTTGTCAAGGAGATATTTGGACAACTATTATAACATAAATTGTTGCACTCCAAAACATTTATTGTGGTAAACTTGAACTTAGTAGGTATTTGGAAATAGTATTTTTATCTAAAATACTCTGTAATCATATATCTATAATGTACAGTATAGAACAGTAACTCACCATCTTGATATGTATTCTTGGTGTGCATTAATATACTATATGGTTTTTAAGTGTTCCTTGCTATAATTCTGAGTTATTTAGACACAGAACTGATACATCTAATTTTATTGTATGTATGAATTTTGTACAATATATTTTGGTCATATTTAGATCCCCTCCTATATCATTTGAACCCCCTTTCTATCCTCCCAGCAACTTTCTATAATATATTAGAATATCTATATCTATCTAGCTATTATCTATCTATCTATCTATCTATCTATCTATCTATCTATCTATCTATCTATCTATCTATCTATCTATCTATCTATCTATCTATCTATCTATCTATCTATCTATCTATCTATCATCTATCTATCTTTGCCTATAGAGTCAGATTTGTGTCCCCAAATGCCCTTCAGCGTGGGTTCATCCACTGGAGTCTGGTCAACCTACTAAGAGTCTCATCCTTAAATGAGGCTGAATCGCCCCCTCCCAACAGTCATCAGTTACCAGTAGTTCCTTAGATAGGGTTGGAGTTTCTTACCCACTTCCCAAAGTCTATGTTGGGATTTTGTCTGGCTTCAACTCACGTGGGATTTCTTCATGTTGTCAGTATTGCTGTGAACTCATATTAGTAACTAGCTAGCTGTCTGGAAAACTCTGCTTCCTTGTGGTCATTCACCCCCTCTGACTTTTATAGTCTTTCTGCCCCCTCTTCTGCAATGATCCCTGAGCCTTGGGAGGTGGATGTTTAATATAGGTGTCCTATTCATGGACAAGTAGTTTTCACCCTCTTATTCTTTGCATGTTGGTCAGTTGTGGTTCTCTGTGTTAATATTTGATGTTTAAGGAATCTTCTCTAGTAACTGGTGGAAAAAATGCATTACTCTATGGGTACAATAAGTCATAAGAACCCAGTCTTATAACAATAAGTCATAAGAACCCAGTTTAATACTATGTCTATTTAGCAGAATAGTTGTATTAGGCTTTCTCCCATGGCCTGTGGGCTGTCTTGCCTCAGGCTCCTAGGCCTGGTATCAGTGTTGGGTATGGGCTCCATCCTGTGAAGAGTACTTTAAATCCAATTAACAAGTAGTTGGTTATTCATATAATATTTGTGCTATTATTGCACTAGTAGGCGTATCTTCCAGGTCAGTTGTTGTAGCTTGCAGGATTCATATCTGGGTAAGGTTCATGCTAAATTTTCTCTTCAGGTAGCTTGCATCACTCTGCCTTGTTCTTCCAGGACACTTGCATGCTACTGGGAGCTGTTCCAAACCTGTCTTGCATTCAGATACATCTAATTTTACTATAGTCCAAATAAGCTTGCTATTTGATAACCATTCCCTCCTCAGGTGCTCCTGTATCATCTCTCTCAGGCCTACATATACATTCCCAAATAACCATTTTTATGGGTGAGTTATTCTGGTAAGTAAATACGAAATTTAGAGTAAGGAGATTGAAGGCATAGGGAAGAAAAAGTAGCATCCAGCAGTTGGTGCTGAAACTATACTTGAGCTGCTCATTTTATCACCCTTGTCTTGCATCTTGTCATTCTTTGAAACAATGTAGTTGGATCTCAAATCATTTCCCTAAGAATATCTTTTTTTCTAGGTTCACATTAAGTGTACCTCAGGGTGTACTTGTGGCTGTTCCTCATTTTTCCTTCATGATTATATTTAAGGCTTATTTCAGTTAGATTCCTAATGATAAATCTGTTTTCTCTTACTAAAATGTCTTAGTAATACTAATATGTTTCTTTTCTGTTGTTTGGAACTTTGAGATGTGGGATACCCAGAACTGAGCAGAGTTTGATAAACATTAATGAAATCTTTTGAATCTTATCAACAATATATTATTGCCATCTTCATAATATTATCCAGGCTACAATGGATGCCAGCTACATGTTAGTCCTGTGCTGAGTACATGGTTGTATACATTATTGCACACATGATTGATAATAACCACAATAATAATAAGGTAAGTCAACTACAGAGACTATGAGAAAACCCAGGCCAAGAAGGAAGGTAACAATCCTAACGTCACTCAGCTGGTAAGTGATAGAACCTGGCTTCAGCTTCAGATTTGTCTGATTCTAAATCCTATACTTGTTCCTTGAATGTTTGTCTTTCAAGTAGCAATGATAAATATGTTTGAGGAGTCTATAACTATAGAGAGGCAGCAAAAACAGAAGAATGATTCAGAATTATCAGATTTCTATTTTCAAATATGGCAAGTTTTAATTTTAGACTTCAACTTTGAAATGGAATGACAGGCAAATTTGTTAAAATTCTGAAAGTAATTTGTTAACATTTCTAATGGAGACTTGATAATCTTGTTTCAAGTGCAGTAGTCATCAAGAATGGATTTTCTGTCTCTAGCTTTAAGACAAAATTGGCTGCTTCACTGGCAAGGTGTCGAATCAAACATGATGCCCTTTCAATTTACCACATTCTACCAGAGACAGTTAGGAAACAGGAACTAAGAGCCTCTACGCTGCCACTTTATGCTTGGATAAACACTTGTAAAATCAGGTAAGAGTTTCAATCCAGTTATTTATTCATATTTCAAGATTCCATCTTTTAAAATATTGTCTTTCTAAGGTGGAGACATTTAGGGAAATGATTAGAGTCATAGGTTAACTCCAGATCATCAATTTACAAAGAAATGTTAAATTTTCTGTTTATAATCATCTTTTAAGTTGGCTAAAATTGTTTTATTAGATGCAATATGTACAGTGATAATTTTCTTTGTTGCAGGAACAAAAATATTAATTTTAAATATATTTTAATGTATTCTATTTGTAATTATGCTCTAATTTTATATATTTACAGTCCTGAAGAAGTTTATGGTAATTTGAGGAGAAAAGGCTATAATAAAGTCAAATCTGTATTGCATCTTGATGATAAAGTTTTTGCTGTGGACCAGCATTGCTATGATGTCATAATTTTTCCATCTCATCTTAAAAAAGACCTTAAAAATACAGATCTTTTCAAAGATTATAAACTTATTTTTCAGGTAAATTACTATTTACTCTCATTGTGATTCTGAATGATCTTATTTTCCCAAAGAATCGCTCCACCCAAAAATAAAAACTAACACTGTTTTTAAATAAAGTATGTGGGAGGATTTTGTGAACTTGAATAAAATTAGTACTTCTATTACTCTGATTCTTATTTATACCTTGGCTTCAAAGTCTCATGTAAAGTTGTAAAGAATATATTCCCTTCTTCAGGTTCATAAATGGAGAGATTGTTGGCAGCTACTAATAAGAGGCCATATTTTTTTCCTCCTAAGAGAGGATCCAAGAGAAAATACAATGAGACCTTTTCTTCTTCCATTTCTGGGAAAGACACAAGTGCCATTTTGCCTATGAAAAGGCAGTGTGTAATATTTTCTCATATTCTCCTAGATAGAGTATTACAGCTTTGATTTCTAAGAGGTATATAATGGCTATCAATATAGAAAGGGAATGTGAGGTATAATGTGGTTTTAATATAATGAAAAATAAATGTCACAAGGACTGGAGAGATGGCTCAGTGGTTAAGAACAACTGGCTGCTCTTGCAGAGGATCCAGGTTTGATTCCCAGCACCCACATGGTGGCTTAAAGCTGCCTGTAACTCTAGTTCCAGGAGATCTGGTACCCTCTTCTGGCCTCTGCAGGCACTGCTCACGCATGGTGCACTTACATTCAGGCAGAATACACATACACATAAACTAAAAATAAATTAAAATTGAAAAAATAGAGGGTTGGAGAGATGGCTCAGTGGTTAAGAGCACTGGCTGCTCTTGCATAGGACTCGGGTTCAATGCCCAGCATCCACATGGTGGCTGACAACTGTAACTCCAGTTCTAAGGGAATCTAACACCTTCTTCTGACCTCTGCAGGCACTGCACAACATGGGTGCACTTAAACATATGCAGATAATACACTCATACACATAAAAATAATAAAAATAAAAATAACAAAAATTTTAAAATGGTTTAAATAATTAGGTTAAATTCATTTTTACATCCTTCAGTTCCAATTCTTGCCTGAGATTCATCTTAGTGTTCTAAGGCTTATCCTTTCTCCACACTCATGTTCTTTGCTTTGATTTTGTTTTCTTTAGATAGGGTCTTGCTATATAGCACAGGCTGTCCTGAAACTTCCTATTTTGCTCAGGCTGGCCTCAAATTCATGGTGATTCTCCTGCCCGAGCCTCCAAAATGCTAGGATTATAGCTGTGTGCCACTCCCACACCTATATTCTTGAATAGCATCTCTTACCTATCTATCTAGTCTCCCTTTATAATCTTCTCAAACATCCCAGATTTTAATCTGAGCTAGCAGTAGCTTAGGCGACAGTGCAATTGAGAACTAAAAATTGTAGTAGCAGATGAATGGGGTTTCATGAAGGGGGAATAAGGGAAGCTAAGACATTAATAACCTATAAATCATACTTGGAGATTTTAGCAATGCTTTTAAACTATACAAAAATTAAATGATAGTCATAATTTAGGTTAAATGAATAAGATTTTGTTAAATAAATTTTTCAGTTATCTTTATTAATTTTTGTTTAGACATTAATTTAAATGCTTTACTAAAATGAATTAGGAATCATTTAAGTATTCCTATCAAGTGCATTCTTTTATCTAAAGCAAAAAGAAGTCAGTTTATAGTCATCCTTTTAGAATTAAAATTTGAAATTCTAATCATATTATTCTCTGTAGGACAAATCTCGAAGCCTTGCTGTCCATTCTGTAAAAGCTTTATTAAATATGGATGATGATATCTTAATGGTCAATACAGGCTCATGGTATACAGTTGCCCATATGTCAATTTTAACAAATAATAATACTTCAAAAATATTTGTATGTGGAGTACAATCACAAGATAAGGATCCTGATGTGAAGAAACTTTTTACAAAAATGGGATGTCAAAGTATGTACAAATATTTATTTGGTGACTTTCATTCTACAAGATTTTAGACATGTTATAAATGTTTGAATTTAATATTTTGGTAATATAAACTATATGTAAACTATGTTCTTAAAATCTCACAAATCTATATCAAGCTGTTCTTGTTTAATATTTGTCTAAATAGCTGTAGGTTGAAGTAATTAACTACTTTAAAGTACTTTAAAGTACTTGGTACTTTGGAACTGAATTTGATTTTATTTCTGCCATAATTTGAGGCTTGACTAACATTAGTTCAAATTTATAATTTACTAGATAAGAATATATTCACATAAATGCTTAATTGAAAAAGGAAACATCAAGGTATAGAAATGACCAGGATTTCATTTGAAACACAGAAGTATACCCTGGGTAATGATTAGCCTAAATTCCTGTCACTTAATTTCTAATTAAGGAGTTCTGTGACTGATAGTGCCGAGTCTTAGGTAGGTCCACTCTGCCTGCTGGAAGCAAAAGTAAATTTTGGGGAAAAAATAATGCTGTTTCCAATTATCTTAAAAAATTCTCCAAATTCAATATCTAGCACTCAATTAAAGATAGACTAGCAGAAAATATATGACTTAAACTATTAAGCTGAAAAGAACAGAGGCTCTGTTATCTCAGCACTAAACCCAAGAAATGATAGCTATGAGTCAAATAAAGAAAAGATTCTATGAAAGGATCAGACTCACAGATGTGGACTTTAAAACAACAAGGACTAATAGTTATAAGCTACTCATTCCATGCTATTTTGTTATAGCAGCTTAAACAGACTAAGGTAAGATGGTAGGCATATTACAGCATAATTGCTGAAGACCAAACACAAAACACAATAGCCAGCAACCAGGCTGTCCTTCAATGAGATGACTAACGAGGCTAATGTCAAGTTTTAGAGTTCCAGCTGAGATCTGGAAACTTTAATAAAACCCAAAGAAAAACCTATAACTAAAAAATACAGTATGTACAATTAAGAAACAAATGGGGCTAGTTGGGGGAGCCTAGTGGGGAAATGTGTGAAGCCTGATCTCCAGCATAAAATGAAAAGAACGAAAAGGAATAAATGGAGTCAGAAGTAAAATACAAAGAAAAAAAAAAACATAAGTGAGCTGATGCTAAGAAGAACAAACCTAGACTAAAGCTTGGGGAGACAAAAGGATGACTATTACCAACAGATTTGTAAGGCACACATGGGACTTAGTGATCCAATGCTTTCATGTATATTATCATCGGAAAGTCAGAAGAGAGGAACTTTATTGAGAAAACCAATTTCAGGCTGAGAATGGATGAAAAACATTAAGCCACAGATTGTAGAAGACTTGTGAACTCTAGTAAGAATACATATATGGCAAACATGCTATGAGTTGAATCCTTGTTTTCCCCCAAATTCACATTAAAATCCTAACCTCAAAGGTGATAGTAATGGGAGGTGCACAGTGAGTTGAATTAAGGTTCTCATGAATGTGATCCAGAAAGGTTAACTTCTTTCTGGTGAAGACACAAGATGTTTCCAGTTATGAGAACATGAACCTGCAACAGATCCTGAATCAGCTGCTGACTTAATTATGGGCTTTCCAGCCTCCATGACTGTGAAAAAGCATTATTGTTATTTATAAATTACTCATTCTGTTTGATTTTATTATAGCAGCCTAAATAGACTAAGATAATGTCATAGGTATATCAACATACTCTCCAAAGATCAAAGACAAAACAGGCCAGGTGTAGTAATGCACATGATTAATCCCAGCATGCCCTGTATTTAAAAAATAAAAAGATAAAACATCAGCCGGAGAAAATATATTTTACTTTCAATGATATAACAATAAAACAAAACCCCCTAAATTTTCAATAGAACTAAATAAATCCAGAAATCTATTGAATAATATCTTCATAGTACTGGAAGGAGATGCCAGGTTAGATTTGTATTCCAGGAAAAATAACCTTTGAAATAAAGATATTCTCAGATAAACATAATCCATTTGTTACCAATAGATACAATAAAGAAAATATATCAAGTAGAAGGAATATAATATAGAAAGTTCAAATGAAGAACAATGAAAAAAGTAAGTACATAGGTGATAGATATGTGGAAACTGACAAGTTGCTTATAGATTTTTAAAAAACTGGTATTCGATACAAGAGGGCTAGGCATACCAGAAAATACTGAAGATGAAAAACCAGGGGAAAGGGTCACTTCACTAGAAGCTTTGATAAAATGTAAAAATCTACAATAATTAAGGTAGTGTGAAAATGGATACATAAACAGAACTAATCAGAGTCTAGCAAAGGCCCATACATATAGTAACTTTCTTTATGAATAATGTGACACTGCAGAATATTGAGAAAGAGATGATCTTTTTGGTAATTTGTGCTAGAAAAGAATTGATGCTTCATGTAACATCTAGAATTTCCTCCTAGAATATGTTATAGGAGAAATACTTCATGTTTTGGGGAGACAATTTAAGATCTTGTAAACATATATATGTATATGTATAGGTGTATATAGGTGTATATATGTAAATGTATACAAATATATATATGTTTAAAAGATTAACAGGACACCAGAAAAAATTCATATTCTATGTATTAATAAAATAAAAAAGCAAATCACAGAGGAAGCACTTCAATTGATGAAGAGACTTTATCAATAATGTATGAAGAATTCTTATAAATTAAGAATAAAAAACTGCTCTGGATCAGAAAGATGGCTCTGTGGATAAAAGCACTTGCTTGCTAAGTCTGATGATTTGAATTTGATACTTGAAAAACTTGTAAAAGTAGGAGAGAACCAGCTCCTGTAAGTCCTCTAAGAGGGCCAGGCATACTAGAAAATACTGAAGATGAAAAACCAGGGGAAAGATAAAAAGCATGAGAAATGCTCTAATACTGCTGGTGGAACTGTAAATTTGAATAGCCAGTTTGGAAAAATAGTAGCTACTAAAGTTGCATATATACCTACAGTAATACCAAGAATTTCATTTCTGTTTTCATCACCTCCTTGCCCCACAAATAATGAATATATGTGCACCAAAAACTATATGCAACAATATTCATAGAAACATCTGCCTTCTAACAAAATTCTGGAGGCAGAATAACTTGTAAAAAATAAGGGAGGTTGTTTAGCTTTATAGTTCTGGAGGTTCAAGTGCGTGATGGCACCAGCATCTATTGGTCCTGGTGAGGACCTTCTGGCTACATCATAGTGTGTTGGGACATGTATAAGAAAAGATCTCATGGTAAGAACAGGAAGCCAGAGACCAGAGAGAAGCAAGTTATGCTGTCTTAATCTGCTTTTAGGGCTGGAGAGATAGTTCAGAGCATGAATTGTTTTTGCAGAGGATCTGAGTTCAATCCCCAGCACCTATGATGGGTGGCTTACAACTGCCTGTAACTTAAGCTCCAGAGGATCCAAGGACAAGGTCTCTGGCCTCCATAGGCACCTGCACTCATGTGCACATACCTCCACCATCATACACACATACTTAATCTGCTTTTAGGGCTGGAGAGATAGTTCAGAGCATGAATTGTTTTTGCAGAGGATCTGAGTTCAATCCCCAGCACCTATGATGGGTGGCTTACAACTGCCTGTAACTTAAGCTCCAGAGGATCCAAGGACAAGGTCTCTGGCCTCCATAGGCACCTGCACTCATGTGCACATACCTCCACCATCATACACACATACACATAGTTTAAAAAAT